GAACTCCCATTAGATCAGGCACACTGTCTCAGTGAGTGGACTAGCCCCTCGCGGTCCCGACTTCCTTGCTCATGTTCTCCCTCCTTCTGCTCTTCAACTGGACCTTGGGAGCTCAGTCCGTTGCTCTGATGAGTGTCTCTGTCTCTATCTCCAACCATCACCGGACGAAGACTCTATGGTGATATTCGAGATAATCATCAGTGTGATAGTGGGGCAAGGCCAGTTCAGGCACCCTCTCCTCTGCTGCCCAAGGACCTAGCTGGGGACATCCCCGTGGACACCTGGGATCCCCTCTAGAACCAAGTCTCTTATCAACCCTAAAATGGCTCCCTTAATTAAGATATCTTCTCCCCTGCTCCTATATCTGCCCTTCCTCCATCTCAACCCTCCTACTCCTCCAAGCTCTCCCCAATCCTTCCCTTCTCCCTTCTCTCTCCCACTCTCTCCTTCTCCCCACCCCCACGCTCCCAACTTTTGCCTGGCGATCTTGTCTGCTTTCAATTTCCAGGAGGATCTATATATATATTTTTCTTCACCCAATATTCTTTACCCACTTCCACAAGCAGAGTGAAGTGTCAATTCCTTAGCCGCTGTTGCAACTAGTTGGCAATGATGTGACCCCGTCTAGTCGAGTCCAAGAAGTCCTTTGGGAGAATTTCTGAAGTAGATTTTGCTTTGTTTGTGAAGACCAATGTGCATAAGCACATAATCATGTACTCTCTTGTTTTGCCGTAAACAAGGCTACAATGTTGGAACTGCCTAGTCATTTTGCAAATGAATAAACCATATTTTGTACATAGAGAAGCAACAAGATGAAAGGATACTGGATCTGTAATGATGCTATTTTGCACCTAAACTAATTGAAGTAACTGCCTAACTCAGGGTTTCTTGTTATCTGAAAGAACATAAAATAACCCCAGTTGTAAAGCCTGGTTCTTTGATCTGGAAGCATTCATGGCTTCTGAGGGTGGCTTTTCTGTTTGTGAGAGAGGAGGTACTAAGATACCAGCCAGAAGCTCATTTTCTTCAAGTGCCTTCCTGCGGCTACTATAGCCATACACATATAAATGAACTCCACTTTGATTTCTAAGAGCTGGCTGCTGGGACAGAGAAAAATTCTGTTTCAGTTTATCCCTTTCTCATATCTTCTGGTACTCTCTTTCCACTTAGTACCATTTTCCCAATCAGACATTTTCTTCATTTATTCTAATTACTATCTGCTATTATTTGATTATATCCTTAAAAACTCTTGTGATGGGAACACTGGGGAGGTGACTTAGAGATTTAGAGCACTTGTTGCTCCTGTAGTGTACCTGGCTTTAATTTGAAGTACCCACAAACATCCATAACTCTAGTCCTAGAAGATCTGACATCCTCTTCTGACCTCTTCAGGCACCAGGCACACATATGGTACTCATAAATACACACAGGCAAAACATTCATGCACAAAATAAGAATACAAATACTGATGTGTTGGAAACTTAATGCCCAGTATATCATATCTAGAAGCAGAAGGGAGATGCTTAGATCATCAGGACTCACTCTGCCCTCCTCATTAATGGAACTGTCTTCATCATTGTTCTAACAGTGGGTTTGTTATCACAGCAATTTACAGGCACTCGTATTCTCTTGAAATCTCATGCCCTTCCATCTTTGCCACTGGAGTAAAACGAAACACAATGGAACTCCTTATTAGGTGTCCTATATTAACTCATTATGATAGCTGTATACCATAAGAACTAGCACAGAACAGATACTCGATAAATGCAAGTATTGCCAGCCTACAGTCCTCTTTGGTGGGTTTTCATGTCATTGACAAGAGATTGTGCTTTTAAAATATTTTATTTTTAATTATGTTTGTGTGCATAGATACATGCATGTGGGATTGCAGGTGCTTACATAGAACAGATGAGGGTGTCAGATGGACTTCACACTGGAGTTCTAAGAAGTTGTGAACTTCCCAATGTGGGTCTGGAGAACTGCACTCAGGTCCTCTACAAAAGCTGTACTTGTACTTACTGCTCAACTCTTTCTCCAGCCCCTGAGAAAAGAAGTTTAAAACAGATTAGAAGAAGGCTTGAGGTTCATTTTATTAGAATGAGAGGGAAACAGCAGTAAGGGGAAATGGAGGAGAGAGAGAAAGATCTACCTTTGAGATAGAGTCAGCAATGGTAGGCTAAAAAGAGCTAAAGAAATAGAGATGGAGTTTTTCGTGAAAATAGTAAGCATGCCCAGAATGTCAGGAAAAACATTTTTAGGACTTTGACTGGTACTCCAGAAGAAATAAGGAATGAGGAAAGATCATTCTTTGGGGGCTAGAACTCAGAAAAGTGGGTAGATTCAGCAGTTAAGATTTATAAGCAGCAGATCTGGGAGCCAGAGAGGTCCTGATGTGTACAAGTACATTGTCTCAGCAATGGGATATTGGGATTCAATTGGAAATCAATGAGATTCTCCTCTCTTTAGCATGTTTTCATTTCAGTTATATTTCCTGAGGGGTGGTCTCCTGACAAGGTGACTGATGGGTCCGGTTGGATTAACTCTGAAGGGAGGTGATGATATTGTATATTTCAGTCATGTCAGAAGGTCATGTTTCCACCCAAGGTCAAAAGTAGAACTCAAATTTTGATCTTTTGGCCAAGAAAAATCAGTTTTCTTTTAATGGACCAATAAACAAAGTCCTGTTCATGCAGTGTTTTAAATCATAAAGATACAAAAATTGTGGTGCTTCTCTTTCTAATGTTACCAGGGAAACAGGAGGTAGGGTTCAAAGTTAACTATGATGGAAGCATTCATCCTCAGTGACCTTCAAACTTGCTTATATCTGACAACCTACCTAATACATGCTGAATTAATATATGAAAAAAAATGTCAATCGTTTTGGAGAACTTGTTCCCGAGTTTAAAATTCTTGTCTTATGACTCTCTAATTGGGCTAAGAATGAAAAGTTCTAGATTCCAGTTGTATCTATCCCATCTATTGTCTTCAAAATATTTTTGACATAAATTAACAGTTAATAGCATTCACTGTGGTTTCAGTACATACACACATCACTTAAACCAGTGCAGATTTATAAGACTTCACAAAAGAAATAATTATTACATTTAAGTATTTAACTGCTTTATAAACTAGCCTGGACTTAGACTCTGAATCTATGCTCAAGACTTAATGTCGTAACTGTGAAATGAAAATGGTATAAAGGGTGTGGAATGTTTCTGGGTTTTCTCTCTTGGCACTGAAGACAAGATAAAGAGATCAGTAACCTAAAGGAATGGCAGATCTAAAAAATATTAAAATGGGAATGGGCCAATCTTCTATAGCAGTGTTTGGGAAATCTGGCAGTATTCCATAACAAATAAAGACACTTTAGATATAATGTTTTCCAGGCCACATCTCAAGCCAAAAGCTTTCAAATTTGTGGAGATGAGACTTGGCCACCAGTATTTCCAAGCTATTCCAGTGTCTAGACAATTTTAAGAACACATGTTCCGAAGCTGTACTTCCCATATTACCATCAATTGATAAAATGCTTTTTTTTTTGCCGTGCAAGACTTCAGTTTATTAATTTTCAGTAACAATAATTTAAAAGGTACAAAGTGTCTCATATTACAGAAATATGGGAAATATACAATAAAGAAAAATCGGGGGTCAAACTGCTAAAACACAACAGCATCAGCTAGCAAGGAGGCCAGAGACCAATGTGAATTACTCCAGGCAACCAATACACTTGCTTTCATTGTTTTGGGTTTTAAGACAGCTTCACGTATGTACCCCTAACTAGCCTCAAACTCACTGGGTGAATTCTGGATTTTGTTCCCTAAACACGAAAACAGATCAATACATAGAACAGACTAATTCACACTGGCTGTTAGGTGCATCTACTGTCCACATTTCAGCCTGCAATCTGAACTGAACACACATTAACAGCCCACACAGTACGGTTTCAGGTGTTTAGTAGGAATTCACCAGGTAAAGCCGGGCACTGTGGCACAAACCCTAATCCCAGTGTTTGGGAGACAAGTAAGTTTAAAAGGCTGACCTAGTCTGCACAGCAAGTTCTAGGCCTAGACAGGGTTAATAAATGGATCAAATTTCAACAGTACTTGTTCACACACTCAAAAATCTGCATCTTTTAGGAAAGCTGACTTCAGCCCTGGCTTTACCACTGACAAAAACCAAGACTGGTGCATGGGCTACCACTGGAAATCCTATCTACAAAGCCTTTTCAAGACTGTGCACTAACTAGAAATGGGGCAAAGAATAACTTGAAAAAAAATATTGCTTTTCACAAAATGAAGACTGGGCCTGGGCCAGCCAGCAACTGTACCAAATCATGCCGAAGTCTCTCGTGACTCAAAGTTGGAGGTTGTGTGAAGCAGAGATGCTCTGATGTATGGGGTCTCACACATACCCTGTACATGAATAGCACCAGCAGGCTAATGCCTAGATTGCACAGGACTGACTTCGATGCTGATGGAGCATCTCAATTAATTCACTGAAGAATTAAGCTTGGCAACGCTCTTCTTACAAAACACTACTTAGTGCTTGATGTAGAAACCAAATAAAGCAGGCTTTCCCCCTTGACAGTACTATGTTTGTGTGCAAAGTTCTAGTTTTATTTACAAACTTAAGTAAACGCTAGAGTCCGCGGGAAGCAGTGAATGAGGCTCACATCCTTTTAAACAGTCTTGTGGCAACAAATGCTGAATGAATCCTGTTTGCTGGAGGGTCGCCTCTCATAGAGCCTGGGTCTGTTGGTGCTTGGGGCCAAAGGCTATCACACACTACTCCCAGAAGCCAAGGGCAGAATCTCCCCTAAGAATCTGAGTACCTTTAACATCCTTCCTCTAGTGACACAACTAGCAAAAAGGGACCAACTGAGGTAGCTACCCAGTTCTTAGATACCGGTTAACAAATTCATGGTGTAGCCAATTGATTGCTTTTGCTGATTTTTTTATGACAAGGGGAGAACAATAATCAGCAAAGAGCAGGCAGTTTACTCAGAAGTCAGCATCCAAGGTGAAAGAATTCTCTGCTGAATTTGACATCACCCCCATCCTCTGATACTTGCCCACTGGCTTCTCAAAGAAGTTTGTCTTCCCTTCTAGTGAAATATTTTCCATGAAGTCAAATGGATTTTCTACTTTGGAAATCTTGCTGAACCCTAGCTCCAGCATAAGCCTGTCCGTCACGAATTCGATGTAGTGCTTCATCAGGGTGCAGCTCATCCCGATGAGCTTCACAGGCAGGGCCTCCGTGAGAAACTCCTGCTCTATCCTCACGGCGTTGATAATTTCTTGTACTCTTTGCTCCGACGGCTTGTGTACCAGGTGCCTGAACATCAGGCAGGCAAAGTCACAGTGTAAACCCTCATCTCTGCTAATAAGCTCATTGGAAAACGTAAGGCCAGGCATCAGTCCCTGTTTCTTGAGCCAGAATATTGACGCAAAAGAGCCAGAGAAGAAGATCCCTTCCACAGCAGCAAAGGCCACAACTCTTTCTCCATAGGTAGCTTCTTTGTCCCCAATCCAACGCAGGGCCCAGTCGGCCTTCTTTTTCACACAAGGCATTGTCTCAATAGCATTGAAGAGATATTCCCTCTCTTTGGAATCTTTAATGTAAGTGCCGATGAGGAGACTGTACATTTCAGAATGTATGTTTTCCATGGCAATTTGGAAGCTATAGAAACAGCGGGCCTCTGTAACCTGAACTTCTTGGCTAAAGCGCTCCACCAGGTTTTCATTAACTATGCCATCACTCGCTGCAAAGAAAGCCAGGACATAAGATATAAAATGTCTCTTGTCGGGTTTCAGGGCTTCCCAGTGTTGAATATCCTTGGAGAGGTCCACCTCCTCAGCCGTCCAGAAGGAGGCCTTGGTTTTCTTGTACATCTGCCAGATATCATGGTATTCGATGGGAAAAACCACGAACTGGCGGGGATTTTCTCTCAGTAAGGGCTCATCCTCAAGGCTGGGCTTAGTAGATTCTTTACTTTCTGGTTCGGCTGGGTCCAGGAAGATTCTCCTCGAAGCCTTGCTCGCCAGGATGCGGGTCCCGCTGAGACTTGGGGGCGTGTTCTCCTTCTGGGACAGGTTGAGTCGCTTCAGCGGCGACATCCTCAGCTGCTGCTGGTCGGTGATGGTGGCGAGTGGGATGCAGACGGAGAGCATGGCGAGCGAGGGCAGCTGCCGAGGCAACGGAGAGGGTGGCGGAGTGGCTAGAACCCGGAGCACCTAAAATGCTTTTTTATGTAAACCAGATCCTGATATTTAGCATTCCCAAGAATTTCCTAAGTGCTGCTTCTGGAAAAAGGACTATGCTTGTAATTTCAAGTTTCCAAAAGGCAGATAAATATATTTTTGTCAAATAGTTTTTAAAAGGTAATATGAAAGAGGCATGTACTTAATACATATGTGGCAAGAATCATGCTAGGAACTTCACCTTTATTATCTCACAAAACAAGCATTTTTAATGCGCCTTTTCTCTTACCAGGAAGCTGAAAAATGAACTTTTAGAGGCAAAATGTAGAAGTGGGAAGACTCAACAAGAGAGCAGTAGAGTCTGTGTTCACTGTCAGAAAAGCCTTGGCTTCATCTTTGACCGGGGATATCCATGCCAAGTCTGCTTCCTCAAGGTGTGCAGTGAATGTCGAGTCATGGGCCCGATGGCAACTGGAAGTGCACTGTCTGTGCCAAAGTCGCGTGAGTTTCCTGCCTTTCTGTGCAAAATCCATATTTGATAATTGACAGGATTAGAATGGAGTAGTAAGAAATGAGAAAAAAGGATTTTAAATTAGTGTAGATTTAAAAGCACAATCTAGTCACAGGCTTGATAGGTATATGTGTGTGTGTGTGAGAGAGAGAGAGACAGAGACAGAGATAGAGAGACAGACACAGAGAGGAATATAGAGACAGGCATAAAGACAGAGATAAAGGAGTGTTCAGTGGGAGAGAAACAGGTAAAGGCAGCTATAAAAGTAAAGAACAGTATTTTAAAATCAATGTCTAAAAATGTTTGTATTTAAAAACCAGCAAGATATTTTCTTTTTTCTAAGCCCTTCAAGACTCCACGTGGTTTCTACAAGAGGCAGAGACAGAATTCTTTTGACATTCGTCAACATTTGAGAAACTTGGCAAGATGAGTGCCAAATGTTCTGTGTGCTGCGTGTATCAGCTGAGGTGGAGCAGTTCCTTAATGTTCTCCAGGCTTAGTTGTTCACCAAAAAGGACAAAAGCGGGCAACTTTCCCATTATGCTTCTGTTTAGCTTCTGTCTAGCTCAGTGGTTCTCAACCTTCTTAATACTGCAACGCTTAAATACAGTTCCTCATGTTGTGGTGATCCCCAACCATAAAATTATTTTCATTACTACTTCATAACTGTAATTTTACTACTGGTATGAATCATAATGTAAGTACTTGTGTTTTCTGATGGTCTTAGGTGACCCCTGTGAAAGGGTCACTTGACTGCAAAGGGGTTGTGACCCACATATCGAGTACCACTGCCCTAGGATCTAGATATGAAAGCTCTATGTAGGTATCACCTTGAGATCTTCATGTGCAGTGAGTTGTGGGGCCTTGCTGTTAGTTTTTGGAGAACAATTTACCACCTTGGCAATAGCCTGGATTGTTTGAGAATTTCCATGGGACCCCTTTGGCCAGTGAGTCTCAACCTCTGAGTGGGTCACAACCCTTTTGGAGGTCACATATCAGATATCCTGCATATCAGATATTTATATTATGATTCATAACAGTAACAAAATAATTTTATGGTTGGGGTTAACACAACATAAGGAACTGTTTTAAATTGTCACAACATCGGGAAGGTTGAGAACAAAGCACTGCCTTTTGCCAACAATTTGGTTGGGTGTAACCCAGTATTAGTACTGGAAGCTTCATTTGGTGACAGGAAATGGCCAGTTGAGACTCTATCTCCATCTTAGTTTCTATTGCTGCAATGAAACACCATGATAAGAGCAAGCTGGGAAGGAAAGGGTTTATAGTACTTAAATTTCCACATTTCAGTCCATCACTGAAGGGAACCAGTACAGGAACTCAAATAGGGCAGAACCCTGAAGGCAAAAGCTGATACTGAAACCATGGTGGGGTGCTGCTTACTAGCTTGCTCCCCATGGCTTGTTCAGCCTGTTTACTTATAGAACACGGGACTACCAAGCCCGGGAATGGCACCAGCCAAAAAGGGCTGGGCCCTCCCCTACCAATCACTAATTATGAAAATGCTTTATAGGGTTGCCTACAGCTAGGCTTTATTGAGGCAAGTTTTCAGTTGAGGCTTCCTCCTCTCAGGTAACTTTAGCTTGTGTTGAGGTCTGGAAAGAATTGAGTTGGAATTTTGGTGGGGATTACATTAAATGTGTAGATTGATTTTAGTAGAATGATCATATTTACTATGTTGTATCTACCAATTAATGGGCATGGAAGATCTTTCCATCTCCTAATATCTTCTTTGATATCTTTCTTCAAAGACTTTAAGTTTTTAATCATACAAATCTTTTATTTGCTTGGTTAGAGTTACCTCAAGATATTTTATAGTTTTGAGAATATTGTTCTAGGTGTTGTTTCACTGATTTCTTTCTCAGTCCATTTGTCATTTGTATATAAGGAGTGCTACTGATTTGTGTTAGTTAATTTGGTATCCAGCTACTTTGATGAGTGTTTATCAGCTGTAGGAGATCCCCAATTGAAATTTTAGGGTCACTTCAGTATAATATTTTATCATTTGCATAGATAAATATTTTGACTTCTCTCTTTCCAATTTATATTCACTTGATCTCCTTCAATTGTCTTATTGCTCTAGCTAAGACTTCAATGCTATATTGAATAGGTATGGGGAGAGAGGACAACCTTGCCTCATTTCTGATTTTAGTGGAATTGCTTAAACAAATCTCCCAGGATTGATGAGAATTTTTTCAATAACTATTTCTTCAGTTCTTATCCAATATTTTCTGAGTTGATTCTTAGTATGTATTCTTCCCCCATTTATCCTATTTCTGTTCATTCTCTTATATAGCCCAGACCCTCATTTGTTCTGACAAAAGGACCTAAGGCCTAAGACTCAGAAGTCTTTAAACTGTTACATGGAGTCTCAGACTTCAATATAAGAAGACAATTTTTTACTTTACTGTAAATTATTAATTACTAAATCACAACCCCATGACCTTATGTTGTAGCAGTAAGGTAATTTGCTAAATAATGTGGGAGGTAAATAAAGGTCTAATTCACTGTATCTTCCTCTGAAAGGCAGGAGTCAGATTCTCTTTAGGGTGTATTAACAGGAAATTAACTCTTAATATGTTGAGTTGAATTTGGAGATTGTCATAGAAACTGGCCTACCACTTAGAACACATGTGCTACATATTTCACTCATTTATTGTTTTCCTCATCTCTCTTCCTCTACTATAATATAAACTTAATAACCATAGAGACAAGAGATTTAAAAAAAAATCTGTATGATGGTCTCATACCTAAAGGAATGCCTAAATCAGGTACTCCATGTGTATTTGTTAAATGAGTAGATGGATGGATAAGCAAAATAATGAAATGATAAATGGATGAATGAATGTCTCCTACTTAAAGCACATCATTGTGGAGTACAAGGAAGAAAAATAGAACAAATACAATTTTATTCTATTGGGAACATGATGATAGGGGAAAAAACAAGAGCCATGACAAGTACATCTGCCTGTTAAACAAAGTAAATACCTACTTGTCATAGAAAAATACAGGTTGTTGTTAGTAGATGCAAGCATAAATATTAAGATGTTGAACCAGCTGCTTTTTTTTAGGAAGTATTAATATAAAACTCATCAATCAATTGCCTTCTTTTTTGGTGAAACATTAACTTAATCAAAACAACCATTTATTTGTCTAATTGATGTATTCATCCATACATCTGTGCATGCCTTCTATACATTTGTTGTTAGTCTATTGGTATAAAGTTGGCTAAGATACAAGGATAGGGAAGCATCAAATGCCTTCAATAACTTTGTAGTCTAATGTAAAAAGTAAAGTTATTATGTTTTTTGTGCTTATTCAAAAAAGTCTTTGTCATTCTGGACATTCTAAAGAGAAAATAGCTTTCAATGTGTGATTCTTATACTTTTCCAGAAACAATTTGTCTATAGTTAGATTTTTCCTGTGATAAACAGAAATTTATGAGTATTTAATATATGAATATCCATGCTTACTTCTCCAGCTGAAGAATTTATTAGTAATACTTTCCTAATATTTAAGCTACTTGTTTGTGTGCCCTCTGAGACTAAAGCTTTCAGTATTGGAAATAGCCTGTTTGCTATTCATGGAGTGGTTTTCAATAAGGAAGCACAAATAATATTTTATTGGCAAAGAATGTCCTTTGTTTGTTATAAGAGAATATTACAGCCCTACCTGGATGTCTCCATGTTTAATAGACCATGAAATTGAAATTCCCACCCTAATTTCTAAGAGATGAGATGAGTCAAAAAGTGACTCATTCTCTTATCAGTTGGCAGAACAACCTTTATTGTTATTTACGTTGGACAGGGCTTTCTTTCTGAAGCACTGAAATTATAGCAAGCATTGGTAGAGGGAGGCTGCTCTTTTTGTAGTTAATCCATTTTTGATTTTGTTGCCCCTTAAGTATATTTAAGATGTTTTCTTTGCCTTCAAGTGGTTAGCAGTTTCACTATCATATACTCATGCATTTCTTTCCTGATTGGAAAAAAAGAACCTAGACTGACCACCCTTGCTAAAGGGACAAAGTGTTTGTGTTTCTCTTCTTTGTTATTTCAATCCCAACAGTAGGAATTCAATAAATATGTTCTGTGTTGTGAATAAATTTATAAATAATAAGTTTAACTAGCTTCTTTGTGATTAACAGATGGAAACTAATACCTTACAAAGCATATCTTATAACAGGTGTCTCCAGTAGTTAATGATAGATAAGCAAACAAAATACTCTGGTTGCTATGTATTTTTAAAACAAAATTACCTATTTGCACTGTGAATCCAAAGAGAAAAGAACTTCTTCCCATTGTGTAAGTTTACAAGTAAAGGAAACATAAGTCCCAGTAGTTTAATGTTACTAAAACCAAAAGCTGACACTCTGTGATAGTTAGCAATTGGTGTTCACAGATAGTAAGTATGATGTGTGGTCATTTCAGTCAAGACCCATTCTTCAGAGTTCAACATAGAGGGAACAGAGTCTGTTTCAAGCCTTGAATTGTTTGAATACTACAGTGGCATGGTAGATGGGTTGAAATCTTACAGCGAGTACCACTGTAAGATTATTTTTTATCCTCTCACCATTTCTTTATTCTTGCTACTTGGCCCCTTGTGTGCACACTTGGGAAAGTGTGCACACATTCATTTGAAATGCTAAGCGTTGCTTTCTATTGGTTTTTGCTTCCACACACCTTTGGCCCTCATCAAAGCCTTTTTGAAACTGACAAACATGAATTCTCTTCTGATGATATTGCCCAATGGAAAGAGTATGAAACTTGGAGTATGAATGTTATATTTACCATCATGCCTCTGTAACTTTGAGGAAAATGCTTAACCCATGTGAGTTTTCTAGTCTAAAAAGTGAGATCTGTCATTGCTAGTTTATATCACATAGTGAAGATTGGAGATATTACATATAAAGTGCCTAGCACATTACTTGGTACATGATAGGTACTCAGTATTAGTTTCTTATTTTTCTATTAACTTTCTGTCTACCTCCAGAACCTGTGATGGGAACAAAGGCATTATCTCTGATACTTCATAGTTCTAAAAATGATAAATTATCCAAGTTCATGTGGAAGGTGAACAAATAGTTATGACTGTTGTTCTCACACAGATGACAGGAGGTAGTGATTAACACTTCTGGAGAAACAGTATTTGTGTTATCTGTTGGCAGCTGTAGGTGTATGGTAAAGATAATATGGAGATTTATTTCCTTTAGAATGTAGATTGCCACACATGGAACTGCCACTGTGCTATCCTCTGCAGCCCCTCACACACAAGCACATACACACATAAGAGACAAGACTTTAGCATACCCCCTTGGATAATTTTTAAGCACTCAGCTATGTCCCCCTTCTTGTTCGCATTTCACTCTTTGACTTCCCACTCTACACTGTCTCTTTTGACTTCCAGTTATTTTCCTTGGTTTCAAGCTCATGTGATTACTTTGGATTCACATGAATGACCTAAGACAATCTTGGTATTTTAAAGTCACTAGATTAATGGCTCAATTCTTGCAGTAAAATCAGATTACATCAGTACATATATGAGTTTGTGATTGACAGTAATCTTGAAAGAATATCTTTAGAAATTAACATTCTGCAAACACCTGTATTTCTAGAATAAGTAATAATATATAAGCCTATAAATCTCTGGAGATATATCCAGGAATAATCTATTCAAATTCATTCTTTTGGTAGATTATATGTTCCTTAGATATGATGCAATTTGTAATAGTTACAGTTATGAATTAGCCACGCAAAAATCTGTGCTTTTCAAGGGGTTATATAGCCACCAGGAATGAGTGTGTGGTATGCCTCGTATTTCACTGTATGCCCTCTCTGAGGTTAACAGGTTGGCATTTTTGAAAGTGGTAGAACTGTGCTGAACTTATCTTGCTGTTGTCTCTTATACTAAGAAGCAGGTTTTCAGCTACCGTAAGGAACAAAACTGATATTTTTCTGGATGAATTTTATATTTGGGATCTGACTGCTGATTTTAAAGTAAAATTTGTTGTTAAATCTTAATATCATGCTCTGGGGCTAGAAATCTCTATTTGGATCTCAGTTGCTTTCTTTTTATTGTTTTAATTTGAGTTTTACATTTTTCTCCACTCCCCTCCTTTCCTTCACTCTCCCCTTCTGCCCTCTTCCGTGACCTCCACACTCCCAGTTCACTCAGGAGCTCTTGTCTTTTCACTTTCCTACATAGATCCATGTACATCTCTTATAGGGTTCTCTTTTTTGTCTAAGTTCTCTGGGATTGTGAATTGTAGACTGGGTTTTCTTTGCTTTATTCTGAAAGCCACTAATGAGTGAATACATATTATGTTTGTCTTTCTGGGTCTGGGCTACCTCACTCAATATAATTTTTTTCTAGATACATCTATTTGTCTGCAAATTTCAAGATGTTATTATTTTTTAACACTGAGCAGTACTTCATGTGTAAATGTACTACATTCCCCTTATCCATTCTTTGGTTATAAGGCATCTAGGCTGTTTCCAGGTTCTGGCTATAACAAATAACACTGCTATAAACATAGTTGAGCATATGTCCCTTGTGGTATGATTGAGCATCTTTTGGATGTATACCCAACAGTGGGATTGATGAATCTTGAGGTAGATTGTTTCCCAATTTTCTGAGAAATCGCCATACTGATTTCCAAAGCAGCTATACAATTTTGCACTCCCACCAGCAATGGGGGAGTGTTCCCTTTACCCCACATCCTCTCCAGCATAAGTTGTCATCATTGTTTCTGATCTTGGCTATTCTGACAGGGGTAAGATGGAAATCTCAGAATTGTTTAGATTTGTATTTCTCCGATGGCTAAGGATGTTAAACATTTCCTTAGGTGTCTTTAAGCCATTTTAGATTCCTCTCTTGAGAGTTCTCTGTTTAGGTATGTACTCCATTTTTTAATTGGATTATTTGTTCTTTTGATGTCAAGTTTCTTTGTATGTTTTGGAGATCAGCCCTCTGTCTGATATGGGGTTGGTGAAGATCTTTTCCCATTCTGTAGGCAGCTATTTTGTCTTTTTGACCATGTCCTTTGCTTTACAGAAGCATTTTAACTATGTTAATTCTGCCTACCTGAGAATTGGGAGATCTTTTTATTTTCTAGTATCTTCTTGAATTTCTTTCTTCAATGTTTTAAAGTTCTTGTCATACAAGTCTTTCATTTGTTTGGTTAGCATTACCCCAAGATATTTTATATTATTTGTGGCTATTATGAAGGGTAATGTTTCTCTGATTTCTTTCTTGGATCATTTATCATCTGTATAAAAGAGGACTACTGAGTTTTTTTTAGTTAATCTTGTATCCTGCTACATTAATGAAGGTGTTTATGAGTTGTAGGCATCCCCTGGTAGAATTTTTGGGGTCACTTAAGTATACCATCATATTGTCTGCAAATATTGAGAGTTTGACTTCTTATTTTCTGATTTTATCCCCTTGATCTCCTTTTGTTGTCTTATTGCTCTAGCTAGAACTTCAAGTGCTATATTGAATAGATATGGAGAGAGTGGACGACCTTGCCTTGTTCCTGATTTTAGTGGGATTGCTTTGAGTTTCTCTCCATTTAGTTTGATGTTGGTTATTTGTTTGTCTATATGGTAGATTACATTGACAGATTTTCATTTGTTGTACCATTCCCTGCATCTCTGGGATGAAGCTTACTTGACTGTGGTAGATGATTTTTCTGATGTGTTCTTGTATTCGGTTTGCCAATATTTTATTGAGTATTTTTGCATTAGTGTTCATGAGCGAGATTGGTCTGTGATTCTCTTTGTTAGTAGTATCTATGTGTGGTTTGTGTATCTGGGAAATTAGTTGCTTTTCTTCAGTTACCAAAGCAGACTTACCAATTCTTGCAACATTTATTCTCACGATACCTTGATTTATATTTTGTCAGTTCTTGTCTTGTTAACTAAAGAAATTTCCTAATAATTTTGCTAGTCTCTCATTTCTCGATGTATTTCTCCAAGTATTATATAATCAAGTATGAACTTTAGTATAAGTTCCCTATTGCCTCCAAAACGAAATTTTAGCTTCTTAGCATGGCATTCAAAGGGTATTTCATAGCCCAGGCCTACTTCCCAATCTCATTTTCTACTATAATCCTCTAGAAATCAATTATCCAATAGTACAGGACTATTTTCAATTCTGAGCTCATGCTATTTTTTCTTGTTTAATTAGAAACAATTTTAGACTACCTAATGACTTCTATGGTTTTATGTCTTTATTGTAAGCCTCAAACTGAGCTTTACAGCACATAGCTGCTATAGGTTGAGTTCTAGGAATCTTGATTCATTTCACAAATGTTTATAAACTACAGTGCTGAATGTTACCGCTAAAGATGATAACCAAAAGAGTCAAGACTCCTGCCTTCATATCACTGGTGATAATGATGTTTGTGATGAAGATATGAAAAGAAGTTTAAGTCTTAAAATGATGGAGCAGTGGTCACTTATTCAGGTTAAAATTATAACCCGAAGACGTATAGATCAGTACTGTTTATGTGCAATTTTTGAACAACAAAAATACCACAATAAATGTCATCATCTGTGTAACAAATGTATGTTAGCATTTATAATAAAAAAGAATAAACTATGGTTTGAGAGACAGTCTATAAAATTCCTATTATTATAGTACTATGGGGGTGGAGTAGAGTTACATAGAGATTGTCTCAGAGAGTTAATAGAACAATAGGCATGACTAAAATTATAAGAAAAATTCTAAAACTCTAAAGGTCATAGAAAGAGTGAAGGCATACAAGAAGACCACAGACATTCCTAGAGGGAAGATAGGAGGTGATTTCACATAGCATTTATAGGTAGAATTCAAAAGATGGATAGGACCTGTCCTAGTTTCATTTTTTGTTTCTGTGATAAAACATTGACCAAAAACAACTTTAGGAGAAAATAATTTAAATAATTTAATTTTAGTGCCTTCCTTTTTCTTCACGAGCAGGCAGCTAAAGTTTATAAGTGGAGAATGGTTTTATGAAGAAAAGGCAAAGCGTTTCAAGCAAGTCAATGTTCTGGGCACTGATGTTGTCCGACAGTCCATCTTAAGAAGAAGCCCAGGTAACTAATGCAATTATTTGTCTCCAAGACTTTGCTTGGGTTAAATTTGTTTGGGTTAAGGAACTTCCCTATGGTAATGTAGCAGGTGAACACAGTTGAATTTTTTCCCTCAATCCCATAGGTCATTTCACAACTTGGTAGCTTGAAATCTAAAAATCATCCAAATGAAGTCAGTAGAAAAGCAAACTTCATACTGATTTTCCACATATCTGACATGCTGAGAGTTTCAAAGGAGCCATTTATCCTCATCACAACCAGTTATTTCTCTAGATGCATTGACGATGTTTTACTAAACATTTAAGAAAGCAACCTAAAACAGGTGAAATAAATTATTCCCATTTTTAAAGCAATTCTTGATTTTTCACCAAATCTAATTTCAGATTTTCTTTTAAATAGTATTTTTTAAATTTAATTCTTGGTTCCTAACCAAGCACTGGTACTGTACCCTAAAGTCCCACTCTCACAAGTGGGAGCACTGGGAAATGCCAAGGAGCATTTTTGGTGGTCATAATGCTTAGATTGAGTCAATGGCATTTGTTGGATAGGAACCAAGTATGATAGGTTAGGAGGCTTAAGTATGCAGGAACGTTTTAGTTTGTGAATAATTAGTTAGACTGGCCCCAAATATGAAGAACAACCCAAGAGTCTCAAGTCTTTAAGTTGAGACTTAAACTACAATCTAACTGGTTCAGTATTGAATAAAGTGTTCTTGAGTGCAATTTTCTCATGCATGGTTTATATAATAGAGGTGGAATGGGTATCTTTTGATCTTGAAATCTTGCAACTTTTTCCTGTGTCACTTTGGGGTGTGGCATTCACAAAGAAGGTCTCCTAAATGTGAATAACACCACATCTGATGTTATAAGAGCCAGGTTGAATGAAAATTATCCAGTCAGCTACAGCCCCCTTGTACACTAAACCTCAGTGCCTTTCAGTGTATGGACTACATTTCCAGGCATAAGACATATGCACACATGCCTGTCATCCCAGGAAATCTGGCCTCTCATTTCCAAGATGTCTGGCTGTGTTTGGGGACACACTTGTGTTCACTACCGCTGGGAGACTGAGGCACAACGCTTATCTATGTAAAAGCAGTCTGGGGTACATAGTGAGTTCCAGACCAGCTTTAGGAATATAGAGAGAATTTGTCTCAAAACAAAACAACACCCATAAAAATTAGTACCTATAATCTATGGACTTAGAGATTTCATAAACTTAGCATTTCATACCCTAAAGATATCTGTAGAGGCATAATGAATTTGTCCCTTTATTTGTCCCTTTATTGTAGCCTTCCTAGGAAAGCTTAATGTGTCAAACCTTGTCCTGATGAGTCCTGGTCTTAATTCATAGCTATCTCTACAGCATTCAACATATTAGAGATGCCTATTTATGCCAAATAACTTGGGATTGAACTGTCATTACCGATTAATATAGGCTTTTTTGTTTTGTGGCAATCTAGCAACATGAGTGCAGAAAAGAAATGTGTTATCCTTTCTGCTTTTGTATTATTTTCTATTTTCCATAAGGATCTGAAGAAATACAAAGCCAAGAGCAAGCCCACCAAGATGTAGACAAGTCAGACACTTCATCGTCAATCAGACAGAAGGCCACTCATGATGGATCCAAGAGGAAGGGGTAAGTGCGGTTCATCCCCTCTAAAATAAATAATCTTCAGTGTTTTCATGTCCGATTTGACTTCAGTGACCCAGAAGAGGTGAGAGACTTAACTGGGGTAACATTTTATCCTAGGGAAATGCAGTCTTAAGTACTTTCAACCTCAGCTAAAAATAATAATAATAATAATAATAATAATAATAATAATAATAATTCCCTGGATGGAACCAATCAGTGGTGGCCCATGCCTTTAATTCCAGCACTCAGGAAGCAGAGACAGGTGGATCTCTGTGAGTACAAGGCCCATATGGTCTACAGAATTAGTTCCAAGAAAGTCAAGGCTGTTACACAGTAAAAGCCTATCTCAAAATACAAAACTAAACAAAATCCCTGGATGACCTGAACATGTAAGAGTTTTTATTTCATGCCTTATTTATTCTTGTGCCAAATGGCACATTATTTCCAGGCAGATCTACCGTCAAAGTCAGTCTTGACTATAAGACTAGAGCCTTTGTGTTCAAATGCTAGTATCCCTCTCTTCCAACCTAACCCTGGTATATAAAACAACCCAATGAAAGCATGGATACTTGAACATATATAAAATGTAGGCTTCCTGAGTTCAATTCCCAGCAACCACATGGTGCCTCACAGCCATCTATGATAAGATCTGGTGCCCTCTTCTGGTATGCATACAGAACACTGTGTGTATAATAAATAAATAAATAAATAAATAAATAAATAAAAAATAAAATGTAGGCTTTCTTAAGGAAAAAACAAGTCACATTTGACTGCTTCAGCTTAGCACATTGAGTTTTACAATGAGCAATGGGAAATATATCGGAGAACAAGATGCAGGAAGGCACTGGGAACTGGCAGTAAGGTGCCACAAAAAATGAGAGTTCCCCCAAATGAGGGCTGCATAGCAAGGGTTCTGAGATGTGCCAAGTCTCATGGTGCCCCTCTCTAGGTAGCACTGCATTGTTGCCTCAGCAGAAGCCAACATGAAATGCTGATGTTGACTGAGACTGTAGCTAGCTCTCAAAGAAATGTGGACTTTTCCCATTTGTTCAGTGTTCTGAACTATGAGTGGGAATGAAATAAAAGTGTAATTTAACTCAGCCTCTCTTGACTAACCCCCTTGTTTACTAATTAGCAGCGACAAATGCAAAAGATTTTCTTGAATTTCTTCAACTCCTTTCCTAGGCATTTGATCCTCCCTATCGTATTGCGTTCATTTATTCATCAGGATACCCACAATGCCTTGTGCCTGTGTCATTGTGCACTCTGACCCTGGCTCCATATACACACACTTAATGGTAAGCTTTTGTAGTGCTGCTCAGGTGGCTTCTTTGCTTCTGCGTTAGGTATCTAGCATAGTGCCTAACCTTGAAAAAAACAAATGGATTGACTGCCTAAGGATCTCAGAGCCTACAGATGTTGTTAAGAGCTGTAGTTTGCAGAGTTTATTTCAGGCATCCCATTAGGTCACACAACTAAGAAAGATGGGAGCCGGAAAACACTAACTGGCAAACATGAGTCACACAGATCCTGACTCATTCAAACTACCATAGCTCCAGGCTGAGGCCTGCTGTCACTCAAAACAGGCAGCTGTGGTTCTGCCTTTAGGGACTGTAACATCCAGTTGGAGATGAAAGCTTAACACCTAAAAGAGTAGCTAGGTTGGAAAGGCTTGTACGAAACTATAAAGTGCCAATGCAAACTATCAAGGTCAGAAATATAGCAATGTGGAAATAAGTCACAAGATATGGCATAGGTGATAAATGACACATATTAAATAAATAGATACTAGCTGCTTTGGAGGTACACAAGAGTTATCGAGACATACATCAGACTACAAGCCGGACTTGACAAGGAGCCTGGCAGGTGGATATGGTTCACGCTATCAAAAGGAAGAAGGGGTGATTCTGAACATCAAAGGCTAGCATTGCATTAAGCTTCATTCTCACCCCAAATGTAATTTTCCAGCAGAGTGAAGGTTCTGACATTTTGACAGTGACATTTTGCTAGGGTCCTTTGAAGCAGAGACAACTTAGCAGATTCTGTTATAATTATGCCAGTACCTTTCAAGTCCATTTGTCCACTTAGAACATTGTTGAATAAAAAATAAATAAAATGGTGGCTCGGTACCATCTTTCTAAAGAATATAGATGGGATTTTGTTGCTTTCATTTTTAATATTTTTTATTCTTTAAAAATTTCAAATATGTATACACTGTATTCTGATCTTTTCCACCCATACTGCTTACCAGCAACTCTCCCTTGGACTCACAAACCCATCCGCTTCCACATTTCATGTGCCTTTACAAAATTATTCTTATTAATAGACCCCTGAGTTCAATTTTTGTTTAAGTGTATTTAGAAACATCCATGTTTGGTGCACTCACTATCCTGGATCAGAACTTGAACTGCATTTCCTCAAAAGTTATTTTTGTTTTAATGCCAGTTAACTACATGACATAGTAATGCACTCAGATTTCACCCAGCATGTGACCTTTCTTTGTATAAACTTCATTACCACGGGAGAGGTGCCATGGAAGACATAAAGGCAAGATATATAAAGGCATGTTCCATTAAAGCATGTACACACACACACACACACACACACACACACACACACTAAAGAGAACTAGCGAGAAAGAGGGAGACAACACAAAGTGGGTAAATGGGTAAGGAAGGGTGGATGGGTGTCAAGTTGGGAGAGTGAATATAATCAAGACACATTGTACGAAGCTGTCCAAGAGCTAATAAATAATTTAAAAGCTGTGCCATTCCCAGTGAAGCTCAGTGATACAGAGCATGCTTAGTAAGAACATAGCATATTCTTTTATTCCCCAGAGCTGTTCTGGGTTCCACTGATGAGAAAGGTAGTCCCAACTCGAATCGTGTCTGCTCTAAGTTGCCACCTTCGTTCGTCCCAGAGACTCAGTTCCTTTCTATGCAATTCCCTATTCCCAGCCTGCTTGCAAAGAATCCCAGCCTGGAATATGCTTCTCCATCTCAGCTGCTACTGATGAGTTTCCAAACTAAGCAGTCTTTTGCTAAGCAGGGGCAGAGACCCAGCAGTAGTACGCTTACTGGGGAACTAGAGGCCCTGGCACCCCACTACCCAAAACTCCTCAATTATGGTCTTTTTTTGAACAATCATTTATTGGCAAAAGTAATATAAAATATTTTTACTATTCAAACCCTGATCTTAGTTCTTATGAAACATGTTCTCTATCACTGAGCTACACTGGAAATTATATTATGCATATTATATATACATACAATGTGTGTAGGTGCTTTGCCTCCATGAATGTCTATGCAATGAGAGTGTGTGTGGTGCCCAAGATTGCCAGAAGAGGGTGTCAGGTATCAGTGTAACTGGAGTTATACACTGTTGTGAGTCACTGTATAGGTGCTGAGAGTTGAGCTTGGGTCCTCCAGAAGAACAGTTAGTAATTTTAACTGCTAGATTGTCTCTACATCCCCTCCTTTACTTTTTTTAACCTACCAAGACTTATTTGTAATATCTAAACAGTCTTGGCTATGTGGTCTTCCACTTGAGTACAATTGACTTATCAGGGGCTACATTCTTAGAGAAGCCTGACTCTCCTCTGTAGAGATTGGCAGTTGCTCCATGGGTATGGATAGGAATTTAGCACACAATTCTCCTTTGCACACTGGCATTTTTGACTGTCTTGGACTTGCATATGTGGATTTTTTGCATGCTGTCACAAACACTGTGTGTTCATATGTGTTGCTATCATTCTGTGACCAGAAGATAATGCTTCCTTGCAGTTGTCCAACATCTCTAGGCCTTTCAATCTTTCTGTCCCTCTTCTGCAACAATGCCTGAGCCTGAAGAGGAGTGGAACCGTATATATGTTCCTTTTCAAGCTAAGCATTCTGCAGTCTCACGTTTCCTTTGCCTTTCCCAGTTGTGAGTCTGTATTAATTACCATTTACTTTAATTAGAAGATTCCCTAATGGGGGTGGACGGATGCTTTAGTCTATGGGTATAATGATAAGAGTTTTCTTATCTTGCTCTTGAATTCATATGTTGATTTTCAGATTTCTTCTGAGCAAGTTCAGATCAGCAACCAGAGGAGAAATCAGAACTCCAAAACCTGAAAGTGGGAGGAGCTATAGCTTGGACTTAGACAGTCATACACTTCAGAGTTTCAAGTCAGCCTCTGGATCAGACAGGTAAGCAACAAATTGAGCAGTGGGCAGCCTGGAAATCAGGTTGATAACCTTCTACCCACATAGGGAGTCTATGTATCTGTAAAGGACCGGCACACAGAGAGTGTCTAACATATAATACAAAAGACAAGAAGATGTTTTACAGTTGTTATAGAAAACCTTTCCTCTTGATTTACAGCTATGAGAAACATTTTTTTTTTGTAATATGAAAGGCTGCAGCCTTATGTTTGGGGAGTTGGGATTCTAAGTTCAAATACAGGTGTACATGACAGGTAATTCTTTCATTGATTGCTTGGTCTTTTTCTGTTTCAACTTCTAAAATAAAACCCTCTAAGTGTCATACCCATTCTTTGCAGCTTTCAAAAACTATTAATAATTTCATCATTTTTGTGTTGCTCCAGGGAATTTTCTTGAAATTCCATTTATTTCTTGTTTCACTGCCTCTAACTGATTTCCAGACGGGTCAAGTGAGAATCTATTGTGCATAGTGTCAACACTCATCAGGATAGCCAAGAGCATAGTCACTTCTAATAACATTTGATTTTCTAGCTTGTTTTGGCATATGCCAGGCCTTATTTTCATTACTATCAAAGCTAAAAGTAAGGAAAAATTATCTGCTCTCATGGTACATTGATTTGTCCACATGCTAATTCCATTTTGTTCTTTTATTGCTCAGGTGGCTGCAATTCTGCTAGTATTTCTATTCTTTTCTGTTTAGGTTCTACAAGCAGAATTTCATTTTTCTTATAACACCTGGCCCTTTTTGCTCATTGTGGTACTGAGCATGGAACACAGGATCTTGCATGTTGGAGTCTAGTATACAAATCAGAACTATATATGTCCCCAGAGAAGACATTGTTTTGATTATTAGTATTTTTATTAATGATATCTGTTTATATGGGTTTCATTTTTCTCTAGAATTCTTCTACATATCACTTTTTATAAGACTTTAGAGAAAAACTATAGGAAAAAATAATTTATTATCTTCTCTCAGAGGATCAGTGTTATATTCAGAATTTTCAAATTTTTCAATAATGTAGATATATTCTCTGTAACATTAAAGAACCCCTGTGTGATTAAAATGCAAGCAAAGCATCTTTGCCCTTGAACTAGTTTTGCTTAGGAAACAACTTCCTCAAGACTTAGCAATACCACTTTTGGGTATATATCCAAAGGAAGCTCAATCGTACCACAAAGACATATGCTCAACTATATTCATAGCACCATTGTTTGTCATAGCCAGAACCTGGAAACAACCTAAATGCCCCTCGACCAAAGAATGGATAAGGAAAGTGTGGTACATTTATACAATGGAGTACTATACAGCAGAGAAAAAGAATGACATTTTGAAATTTTCAGGCAAATGGATGGAGTTAGAAAACATTTTATTTAGTGAGGTAACCCAAACCCAGAGAGACAATTATCACATGTACTCAATCATAAGTGGTTTTTAAACATAAAGCAAAGAAAACCAGCCTACAAATTGCAATCCCAGGGAACCTAGACAACAATGAGGACCCTAAGAGATTCATACATAGATCTAATCTACATGGGAAGTAGGAAAAGACAGGATCTCCTGAGTAAATTGGGAGCATGGGGACCATGGAAGAGGGTTGAAGCGGAGGGGAAAGGCAGGGAGGGGAGCAGAGGAAAACATCTAGCTCAATAAAATCAATAAAAAATAGTTTTACTTCATTTCTCTTCTATTTATTTATTTATATTCTAATGACAGTTTCCCCTCTCTCTTCTCCTCCAAGTACCCCCTACCTCCTCTCTGCATCCCCAGTCTACTCTTCCTCAGTTTCTATTTAGACCAAGCTACATAACTATCACATATATGCAGAGGATCTAGGTCAGTCCGATGCAGCCTTCCCGGTTGCTGGTTCAGTCTCTGTGATTTCCTATGAGCCCATTTTTAAATGAGCTGCACAAACACAATACCTTAAACAAGAGCAGAAATAACATATATTTATATATATTATATATTATAATATAACATATATAATATATATATTTAATATATAATATATTTATTTCTGTTCTTGCATATATGTCTGGGTTACCTCACAAAATAAAATGTTTTCTAGCTCCATCCATTTGCCTGATAGTTTGTGGATAGTTTGACTTCTCTTCTATGCTACCTTCATTATATATTTTTTCTTCAAAACCTCAATCAGTCATGGTATTGCCTGTTAACTCAGTTTTCAGGATGATAAAGCAGGACTGTTGTGAGTTTCAGCCTGGACTGTATATATATATATATATATATATATATATATATATATATATAGTAACAACATTGACCTTAAATTTGTATCAATAGATCAAGATCTATACCAATGCAAAACATTTATTTCTATATCATATCCTCCTTTAATGAAAGAAAACATTTATAAGTAATCATTTTGGGCATTTGGGCATAGTTTTCTCCAAACAGCTTCCTGCTATTTGTTGGGCAAAGTATTTTTAGGGTTCATGGAGACCTTTCAGGGGGTCTTGTTCCATCAAATAACGTTAGCCTGAAAGGAATTCACAGGTTCTCATCTGTGGAAACAAAAGCAGAACCTCTTTTCTCTCTCCTCCCTTTTTTTTCTTCAGCCTAGATTTCTCCTCCTATTTATTCTTTCTGCCTGCAAGCCCCACCTATTTCTTTCTCCTACCTAGTTATTGAATGTTCAGCTCTTTATTAGACCAATCAGGTGTTTTAGACAGGCAACGTAACATAGCCTTACAGAGTCAGACAAATGCATCATAAAAATACAACACATCTTTGCATCATTAAACAAATATTCTATAGCATAAATGAATGTAACACATATTAAACTTGTATTCCACAACAGTTCCTCTTCCCACCCTCCACCAGGCCACCCATGAAATTCTTCCCAGAGAGATCCGAGCATCCTTCCTTGAGCCCTCCTTGATACCTAGCCTCTCTGGGTTTGTGGATAGTTTGACTTCTCTTCTATGCTGCCTTCATTATATATTTTTTCTTCAAAACCTCAATCAGTCATGGTATTGCCTGTTAACTCAGTTTTCAGGATGATAAAGCAGGACTGTTGTGAGTTTCAGCCTGGACTGCATAATGAGTAACGGGACAGCTGTGGCTACATGGTGAGGCCATATCTCAGAAATTCAATAAGAAAAAAAAAAGAAACATTTGGTCTTTCTTTTTGCTTCCTTGGCTCTGAGTAGATATGAAATTCACTCAAGGGCGGAGCGGCGGCCAGACGCGCAGAGGCGGAGCGGCGCGGCGGCCAGACGCGCAGAGGCGGAGCGGCGCAGCGGCCAGACGCGGCGGAGCAACACCACATACAGGAAGAGGCTTTCGGGGACCAGCGCAGCGGCAGACCCAAGCGGCGGGGACAGGCTTGCAATAAGGAGAGCAGTTCGCCCTACTACAATTGAATCAAAGAGGTAGGCTTTTGGTTGGCCAGGTCACTGGCACAAGGGGAGCCTGGTCCTGTCCTGAAGATCCTTCGGAGGGGTGAGAGGGTTCTTGGCCTGCAGCAGGAACCACGAAAGAGAGTGAGGGCATTTTGTAAGCGGAGCCCTTGGCCAGCAGGGAAACCTGATCCGGTTTTTAAAGGACCCATTGGATAGGATCAATAGGAGGACATGGGCAGGCGCCAAGGCAAGAATTCACCCAATAATCCGAAAAACAACATGAAAACATCAGAACCCAATGATCTTACAACAGAAGTATTTGAACAACCTAACACAGAAGAAGTGGAAAAAATCGACTTTATGAAGATAATAGAGTCCCTTAAACAACATGTAAAAAATGCCCTTGTAGAAATGGATGAGAAGTATAACAAAAAGTTTGAAGAAATGAGTAAATATGTACATGATACCCTGGGAAACCAAGAAAAAACCATCAAGCAGGTAATGGAAACAGTTCAAGAATTGAAACCTGAAATGAAGGCAAAGAAGAAAATACAAACTGAGGACCAGCTGGATATGGAAAATCTAGGCCAACGAGCAGAGTCTACAGAAACAAGCATAATCAATAGAATACAAGAGCTAGAAGAAAGACTCTCAGATGCTGAGGACACCATAGAGAAAATAAACGAACAGATCAAAGAAAACAGCAAAGCCAACAAATTCTCAACACAAAACATTCAGGAACTGTGGGACACAATAAAAAAACCAAACCTAAGAATAATAGGAATAGAAGAAGGAGAAGAGTCACAGCTCAAAGGCCCAGAAAATATTTTCAACAAAATTATGGAAAAAAACTTTCCCAACTTAAAGAAAGATATTCATTTAAATATTCAAGAAGCATACAGAACACCAAACAGACTGGATCAAAGAAAAACATCTCCTCGCCATATAATAATCAAAACACAAAATATACAGGTTAAAGAAAGAATATTAAGAGCTGCAAAAGAAAAGGGGCAAGTAACTTATAAAGGTAAACCGATCAGACTTACACCTGACTTCTCGATGGAAACTATGAAAGCCAGAAGGTCCTGGATAGAGGTTCTGCAGAAGCTAAGAGACCATGGATGCAAACCCAAACTACTATACCCAGCCAAGCTATCGTTCATTATCAATGGAGAAAACAAGACATTCCAGGATAAGAACAAATTTAAACAATACGTAGCCACAAATCCAGCCCTACAGAAATTAATAGAAGGAAAATCGCAACCCAAGGAATCCAACACTGCCAACACTGCCTATAATAACCCAGGCATCTAATGACCCTTCACGAGCACATCTCAAAGAAGGGAGACACACAATCTCTACTACCAAAAGCAATAAGAATAACCGGAGTAAACAACCACTGGTCATTAATATCACTTAATATTAATGGGCTCAATTCACCTATAAAAAGGCACAGGCTAAAAGATTGGATACGAAAACAGGATCCAACATTCTGCTGTTTGCAAGAAACACATCTCAACCACAAAGACAGGCACCTACTCAGAGTAAAGGGTTGGGAAAAGGTGTTTCAAGCAAATGTTCCTAAGAAAAAAGCAGGTGTGGCCATACTAATTTCTAAC